AAATTTTATGAAATGAACAAATATAAATATAAATTTAAAAAATTTGTAAATAATAAAGCTTATACTAAAATATCAAAACTGTAATATTGTACAATCAATAAATTAATTTTTTTACATAATTGTAATTGTTATTGTTATGTCACAGTTAATTTTATTGTGAAATTTACTTGTAAAAATGTTGAAATATAAGCTCAACATTTGGTAAAAATTACAGTTATATAAGTCTACAAAAAAAAGTTATTAAAATTACATATGACTAACATTAATTATGTATTATAATAAAAAAAAACCTGGAGGAGCTGGGATTTGAACCCAGGACTTTCAGCATGCGAAGCAGACACTCTACCACTGAGTTACACCCCCAACTGATCCTTTTGTTAAAGTACTATAAATTAAGTAGTAGAAAATATATTATTCCTTTTATTTTTAATTAATTAATATTTTTTATAAGAATAGATAAAAAATAATACATATGTACTACTTTATATAAAGTGCAAATTCATATACACAATAAAAAATATACAATTAATTGAATAGTTTATATTTAATTTATAATTTACTTATAGATTAATATATCGTATTATAGAAATGTAAATATATATAGCATATACAATCTTAGCAATAGAAGTACACATATACTATAAATATGAATCAATATAAATCAAAATTTACTAAATTGACTGTTAAATTTTTTAATATAATCGATGATCTTTTTTATAATAGTTACATTAATACATTAAAAAACATAATATGGGGTACCTAATTTTTTTTAATATACTTTTAATCATTGATATGAGTTAATCACTATATGAAAAAAAAACACATCGAAATTGTAGGCGATAAATAGAACTCTCATTTACCGGCACATATATTTAAAAATCGTTTTGGCTCTTAAAAAGAAATTACAAAATATGTATGTGAATGGAATTATAATTTTAAATTACATTCTTTTCGAATTCGTAACTATACGTAAGTATATAAATTACATAATAAAATCAAAGGTTTATAATTGCAAGAAACTCCCGATATTATTTTTAAATTTCAAACAAATATATGAGTTATTATAGATATTGTAAAGATGTAAGAATTATAGTAATTAGAGGAAATAACTGAATATCTTACTATATTACGTATATTTATCGTATACAGCAAGATTTGAGTGCACGAGTGTCGGTTACGTTGCAATACGAGCCAGGTGTGGAGCGATCATGGAGAAGAAAAGGCACGCAAAGCTAGTGACACAAACGCTGTTAAAGCATTAAAACCAATCTTACTTTAAGCAAACTTTAATCTTCAATACTTACACTACTTTTCCCTAATAAAAATGAATGAATACAAAATTTATTATTTTTGTAAATACTTTAAATTATTAGTCACAGGGTTCATGTAAATAACAATCCCATATTCTCTCCTATCCTATCCTTTATTTGCTACAGAAGCAAAATTTCATGAATTTGTAAATGAATATAGTTATCTTTGTGTAATATCGTATAATATTATGGAATTATAATATTTTAATTCGAGTTAAGTATGTGTATAAACTAGTATCATTTTAATTAATATACATATGTAAACAATTTTATAGAACAAGGTTGAGATGCTAATTATGCCGCTAATAATTCACTTTTTTATTTTGTAATAAATTAATAACGTGTGTCAATTTTTCATAGAAATGAGGTTTAATTACTAGCATTTATTGTATATATTTCCAAGCTCCGGCAACTTCTGCAGATTATGATGAAATTTGATTTGAATGATGATTCACATGAATTTGTTATACATTTCAACACATAGATAGATTTTAAAGTATTATACAAATACATGTGCATACTTAATTAAAATACAATTTATACTATGATACGGCAATGAATTCAACATCTCTAATCTGTTTAACATTTAATTGAAATTCAATTAATCTTCACTACAATAAATTAAAAAAATATTTTATAATTTTATTAATTTCAATCACTTTATAAAATAATTTAAAAATAAATCATACTAAATTTTGCAAAATTATAATTTATCAAATATCGTTATTACTTACAGCCCGAAAGTTTTAAAACACTTTTATGGCACCCAATTTGTTAATATAGTATTCCAATTATATTATTTGAACTATTTTTTGGAATTTATTAATCAATTACAATTAATTCCCATTATAAGCCTGTACAAAACTAATATTGGTGATATAGAAAAATTATATTAAAATACTAAAAATAAATATTAAAATCCCAAAAGTATATAAAGTTCATACTAGCACAATTGTTAATAATTTTTAACAAAACATACCTTCATGCTTTAAATTGATCCATCAATCTGAAAATTTAGTAATAAAAATTTATGTAAACGTATTTTTCTATTTCGTATAAAATTAGTTGAGCATGTTCGATATTTAATATTCATTACAATTTTATTAAAGTATAACGTTCCTTTTTTACGTTTAAAGCCTTGCATTTTACAATAATTCTCAAATATCACGAATTTACATTGAAACAAAGACTGCTTTTCCTAAATATAAATAATACAAAAGCTTCTGATTACAATCACATCTAGCTTAAGATTAAACTTAAGCATCGGAGGTGTAATTACAAATATCATAGAACCATTATTATACTACTTATGGTAAACTTATTTTGATTCTTGCATCAATTATCAACAATGTTGTATTCATGCGTCAGAAGACAATTTTTATTGTAGAACAATAATTTGGTTAATTCACAATGATTATCAGTACAAAAAAATATATTTAAAAATTAGTCACTTAATATACATATGCTTATAAATCGTCGTCAAGATTTAATTACTACTTCACCTTTAATTTATATCTTTATCGAATACAAATATTTTTGTTATCGTAAATGATTTTGATTTAAAATTTCCCATTATATCGACAAAATTACTTTACCAAAAATTATTTATATAATATATTTATATATTTAGTATTTTTTTATACAAATAAATTATTTTTTATTATATTTGATATAGTCTTCTCGTTATAAACCAAATTAAATTGCTTTATTTTTTATAAACTAAAGAAAATGGAAAAATCTCTAATTATTGAATATGTATAAAAAAACAAAGGTATAATGTTTAGTCTATTACTTTGAACATACATACAATGGTAAAAAAATGATTTTATCAGATTTCTTCATAAATTAATTGAATAAAGCGTACTTTAACATTTATACAGTAAAAAATAGGGCAATTGTTATTTTACCCCTTCCCCCCAAATCAACCTTTTACAAATTCATTCTGTCACTCTCTTTTTTATTTATATATAATTTTTCGTGCATTCATACTAGTCATTTAAAAAATGATAACAGTAGCTTTTATAGTTTAAATTTTTTACGAAAATTCAGGACTTTATATTTTCCTTTTTTTCAAATTAATATGAAAAAGGCATATTCAATGGTTTCTTTATTATGTAAGCATCTGAAATTGATGTAATATCGAAAAGAAATTAACGTAAGTACAGATTACATACTGAGGTAAAAAAAAATTAATCAATTTTGAATAGCATAATTCAATAATTTTCTTAAAATAATTTTTGCCCCTTTTTTTGTACACAGTAAAAAGCAATAGTTTCTACATATTCAAATAATACACTATAAAAAATATTTTAATTATAAATTTTTAATTCAAATAAAACTATTGCATCATTAATTATTGAAACTATTGTGAGTGTATAAATTTATTTTAAATATTAATAAATATTTTTGATTTATATTTCAATTTACTCACTGTTACAAGTAAATAATTTTTTTCACCATAATTTTATATAATTAGTTTAAATAAAGAAAAGAAAATTAAAAATTATTAACAGTTATTAATGTTTTATGAAACAATTTTTTATAGTGTATTTTATAAATGAAATATTTACATTGAAAAAATAATTTAACAAATATTTGTATTTTTACAGTAAGATAGGTATATGATTACAAATTTTCAAAAATTTCTTTATGATATATTTTTTAAAGTATTTTTAATTTGTAGAATATTCTACTATAAACCACTAAAAATGAAAATAGATAATTCCTAATTTCTTAATATTGTTATGATTTCATTATTAAAAAGAGACATTTATTTTTGTTTTTCTTATGACAGAAGATGAAAAGCTTATTAAAATGATACTAATAAATGAAATATTACAAAATAGATTTTAATATAACACATAATTAACGCGAAATAGATAAGACTTAAATTTAATTATGAAATCTGTTATTTTTTTACTGTGTACGAATTCATAGATTCAAACTATAATTTTTTGCAATATTTGGTATAAACAAGAACTGCATTGATGATAAATATATAAAGCACTCGCTAAAGAAACCCAGAGAATAAAATAATTTTTTTTTTAATTTATAATAAATGGTGCTGTATTATTTTATAATTTATTAATTTGCTCTATATTTTTCTATATGTTTCAAATCATAATTTTTCTTTTTTCATATACATTTATTTACATTGTTGACAGCAGTTTGATGAATAAAGAAAACTACACAAAACTGCTTCAAAAGCAGGAAGTCAATTATATATAAATTTTACATCAGCAACTTTTTTATTCAAATATATGACTGAAACATAATATAACTTATCCATGAATAAAAACTGAAAATTTTAATTAACACAATGATCATACGATGTTAAAATAACAATAAATATTTTTAATAATTTTACAAATTACGAGTACACGAAAATAAGACCTGCATCTTTATTAAAAAAATAAGTTTTCCACAGAAAATTTTCTACTAGAACCCATCTATGAACTATATGCTGAAAAATTATATCAATAATCAACTTATGTAAAAGAAAGTTCTTCAATTGTTCAATTGTATCAAATCAAGGAGTATACAAAAACAGTAAAATATTATAAAAAATAGGAAGCGAAGCAGCAGTCTTTGTGTAAAATCATTATATTTACTCAATCATCAATTTATATAACCATATTCATGAGTTTTTTTTAATTCGTAGTCAATATCACTGTCACGCACTCTCTCTCTCTCTCTCTCTCTCTCTCTCTCTCTCTCTCTCTCTCTCTCTCTTATTATCTTGCTCTATTTTTCTCATATACATTCAAGCATTTTATCATGCATGAACCTACAGCTTTCGGCGATATAGCGGTAACAATATTAATGTCACTACGATGTCATCATGTCACTACCCGAATTCGTTGAATTCATACTCGGTCCTTTTAATGAATCATTTATATCCCTCCGAAACATTGAAAGATTTTGTGTAAACCTATTAAAAAAGTTTGATCAAATTAATTTATGAAATTATATTTTAATATAAAATTGATAATGTTTATATCTTATAAGCATTTACTTAAAAACTAAATAATAAATAAATAATGTAAATAAAAAATAGAATACATTTTTTAAAACCCAGACATACATATATACATATAAATGTGTATGTTCTACATATTATTTCAATCGTCCATAAATTTATCGAGTTGTATAAAAATGAAAGGAATCTCTAATTAAATTTATTCAATTTTTTGTTTTATGAAGTTGTAAACATACCGTTTTATTCCAAATGAATTTCTAAAAAATAATTCACATTATCCATATAGTAAAATAATGACTTTTATAAGTTTTATTATTATAAAATACAGAATTTTGTTATAAATTTTCTTTCATAAAAATCCAATAAGATATTGGTATAACATAAAACAATAATTTTTTTATTTTATTTAAAATTATTAAAGTAAAGTATAGCGATATAATATTACCATTGTTATATAAGTATAATCCTATTTTTCATATATATAGTTCAATATAAGATTTTCAAAACATACCTATCTCTATTTTTTGTTAGTAAATTTCTTTCAATACCATCCATAAGATTTTCAAACCACTGTGCCATCGATGCTTGTTTGTCCACTGGTTGACTTCTAATAATATTTTCTCTTAATTGATTGAAATACTAAAAAAAAATTATATAAATTGTAAATTAATGACATGAAAAATGAAAAATTTACTTAATTTGTATGACTAATAATACTAACTTCTTCATTTAAAAGTATAAGACCCAAAAGAGGTCTTGACATACTCCATTGATTTCTACAATCCTCAAACATTATCACATTTAAAACAGTACTTAAAATCTGTTGAAGGATTTCAGGATGCTGTTTTAAAACTTGTAAAAACAAATCACCACCACTTTGAGCAACTGTATTTTTTTTGCTGGGATAAAGACCAGCTTAAATAGAAAACAAATAATTAAAAATTATAACTGTTAAATCTTATATAAACCATAAATATTTTAAGATTATTAATAGATGATTTTTTAATCATATATTGGTATATATAGTGAACAAAAACTTTACCTTTCTGATAAAGCTGCTTAAATAAGTAAGTTACGATATGATCTAGGGTTACGCAGCAACCATTGCAAATCATTGTATCTGAAATTAATACAAACTTTTTCAAAAGAAAAATATAATGAAATATATATTTTTCCATTACTTTTAAGCACAAACAATTTTATTATTCTTATAAAATAAGGTAATTCAGATTTATCAAAATAAAACAAGCCATGCAAGAAATGAGAAGAAATAGAAAATAAAATGATTATAAATTAGTAATAGGCCAGGTGTACGGCTGAATATGAGTGCTTAGACCAAGCGAAGTGGTCTAGAAATCACACACTTCAATCCTCTTTATGCCTATATCTTTTAAATATTGATAAAACATAAGATACACGTATACGATTTTATTTGTAGATGTAAATAATTATATAAATATATATACATCTATATATATATATATACACACATACACACACATATACATATACATATATATATATATATGTGTGTGTATTAAAAGATAAAAATTTAAATATTTAAGACGATTGTAAATTATTTCATAAATTGATTATTTAGGTTAACTAAAAATATTCGGTTACAAAACCGAATTAAAAATTAATTTATTTGAAAAATATTTAATATCATGCAAAATGATTATATAAATTAGCATATATCAATTAATGAATATTTTATGTGCAAAATTAATAAATGAAAAACTTCAATTATTTAACTCTTGTAAAATAATAAATTAAATTACAAAAATATGGAAACAAATAATAATTCGTTTATTATTAAGATGCTCACCTGTGACATTGAAAATATAATTATTTATACGATATTGAAAATTTAAAAAAACAAATCTATAAATATGTAAACATTCTTTAATAATTAAATGGCGAAGAAATAACATTCCAAGCCAACTAGACTGATGAGAACTTGCAGGCAAGTTCTAGAGGACAAAAGGTGTAAGAGTAAGGAATATCGGCGATTAATTACGACGATATCCCTTTTAGAGAATTTCATCAGCCGTACAGACCTGTGAAGGAGTCTTTAAGCGCACCTAGTGCCGTGAGGCCTTCGCTGATACTCGATAGAATGTACAAGAATACGCGCGGCTCGAGAGTAGACAGAAAGGCCATGTGATCCTGCGCCAGGCACTCCAATAATCCATAATATGTCACAGACAGTTTTGGATAATCCTACAGATAAATATGATATGTCAAAATGGTAGTTTCAATAATTTTGAAACGTCTTTCCTTGAGCACGTTTGTATTAAAATTATATCCATTTAACAAATAATTATAATTAGTATTAAAAATTAATCATTATTATATTTTAATAAGGTTTGGTTTTAAATGTGGAATAATTAAAGTACTTACCAAGAGGTCACTTTGCGATATACTAAGTAGCAGTTTTACAAATGTATTTAACGCATTATCGAGGGCTTCATCACCATATAGTCTAAAGACTCCAAAATTTACATAGCTGCCACATAATGCTGCTTTTAGCATACTAAAACATATGCTTATACCCTTTAATTTTAAGGGATAAATTTGATCCTTGGACACTTCAATGCCAGGGATGCGATTACCATAGCTGCAGATGACTTTACTTGCTTCACGAAAGAGAAGTATACCATTTGGCGATGACACATCGAACTGCAATCGTTGACTGCGATTTTGTACTAATTCAGCAAATAATTTTAAAACCGGTGTCGTCACCTGTGGCTCATGATGCCAAAGTTCGATAGCGTGCAGAAGAATCGGAGTATAATTTGGATAACTGAATGTTGTGTTAAGGGTATGTAAAGCGAATATAAACTTTTTATGTTATAAAATAAATTTAAGTTACAAAATTATTTTTATTAATAAATTTTGATGTTTTATAAAAAAAAAATTTATATAAAATTTATAAAATATATACCACGTAAAAAAATTTATAATGAAATTATGAATAAAATTTTAAATATTTATAAATACATAAAACATTTTGTTTGCATAAATCTTAAGTTCTAAAATCATTAAAATAGATATTTAGTTTCCATTCAAGGATACATCCAATCAAACAGCATCATGTAAGAGGTTTTAGTATTAAAAGCATATGCCAGTCCCCTTAAATCCCTTGCCAAACCAATTAAAGCTTTCTTTGCCTCTTCAGCAGCAAACAAAGGAGTATCTGCTGCTCCCATTAATTGGCCTAGACTTTCTAGAGCAGCTAAAATTTTTTTTCAACTTGTAATAATTAATTAAAATTGATAAAAAAACACTATTTTATGTGACAATGAAATTAATAATGAAGTTAATAAAAAATAATTCAAATGAGAATATAAGCAAATATCAAATAATTACAACATAATGCTTATTAAAAATATTAATTGAACTTAATCTATAACACTATGGAAAGTGACAAATTAAAACATAAGATTAATAAAATTTCAGATTACCTGTAAGAGGGAGCATAAAAGTATGAAATTTCTCTTCATCTTCTCCCAAATCAACCATCAATAATCTGCCAAGTGAAGTATAGAACATTGATCTACAACGCATTTCTGTCACAGCAACATTGTTTCCCAGAAATGGAAAATGTTCACTCTAACAGACAATATATAATAAAATAATTTTCTATTGTATATACATATATATATATATATATATATAGTTTAACTAGCATATAAATTCCAAAACTTAGTGCAGTTGTCTTGAAAATTTTTATTAAAATAATAAATGGAAGAAATGAGAATAAATATTACATAAAATTAAAACATTTATAAGAACTGCTTGCTATTTTTAACTTTTTTAATAAAAATTGTACTCACTGTATGATTATTCAACATAAATTGAACTTCATCTAATTTAACAAGTTTGCGAACACAAGTGTAGCCTACTGATAAATCATTCAATAACTGTAAAGTCCTTGAAATAATTTGTTCACTTCTTCCCCAATATTTTAAATTTGTTATTCTATAAAATAAAATAATAACGATGCATTTTTATAATTATCTTTATTGATATAATTATTAACTTAACTTAACTTAACTGAACTTACATTTTTCTAATAAACACGCTAAGAACCATAGCTTCATCATTCAAACCCAGAACGTCTGATAGACGCCTATAAACTTTGGAATTCTTTTGTACTTGGTCACCTACATATATTTTGCGAAATTGTTCAAAGAAACTTAACATAGCCAATTCGAGTTTTTCACAGCCTCCTTGCGCTAACCTGGAGTCAGTGAGATTCATAAGCTGAAGAACTCTACAAACTAGTTCTCCATCCATTGCATCATGTTCTTCATTACTATTGAAGGACACTCTGCCACCTATGGCACTGCCTATTATATAAAATATAAACTTTTCAATTATAAAATTATTTTCTGTATATTTAAATATTTATTTCAAACTAATTTTAATTTTTAATAAAGAATAACATAATTTACCAATAATGTAGACAAGCCAAGTAAGTTGTCCTTCTTGAATTAAAATATCAATTTGCTGTGTGGCTGTACTAGTTTGAGCCATCAATTCCTGATATGTCCTTGCAGCTTGGTCAAAAAGCTGTACCAATAATGTACAGGTTTTTTGGTATTCACATCGACCAATCACAGACAGTTGCTCTAATTGTTGTTGTACCATCCCTAAATCATCTAATGGATCTTCAAGACCTTCTCTGACAACTACAGCCACAGATTCCAATCTAGAAGTAATGTATGCATTGGAGACTTCAGGTGTATATGTTTCCAGGAGATGAGGTTCAATAGCTTTGATATAAGGAACTGAAGCCACCATACGCTGCCATAAACTCAGGAGGTAATGTACACTGTTAGGAGCAAATTGCCACATCTGTAGGCTTTGAACCGTGAATTTAGCAATTAATTGAATAGCCTCTGGATAATTTTCCACCATGACTAGTTCACCTAATTCAGAATATTATTTATTATAATAATAACTATTATTTTTACTCTAGGAATTCATAATTCATTATTTCTTATTTCAGTTTTCCTTTTTAATGTTTAAGAAATAAAATTTGAAATGGATTAAACACATTTTTACTACAATTTTTACTAATTAATACTTTACTATTTAAATATAAATTATAATAATATAAGTAATAATAACATAAATATAAGTAGTTTACTGTATTGATTATAACTGTTAGGTTTGTTAATAATAATTTTAACAAGTGTTATTTAACATACCTAATTGATAATTGCTCTTAAGACGAGCGAGTAGCCTACAGAATTCATGGTAGTTTCCAGGATCACTTAAACCTTGAGGATTTTGTAACGTATGTTTAACACCATTCACTAGATGAGTTAGGAACTTTGATCTCTCCACATTACAAAATAAGCTACGTCGTACAGAGGCTATTTGAACCAAGCAAGAAAGAGCAAGAGAGGACAAAGTATTAGGTAGACTGTGGTAGAGGTCAAAAAATAATTTCAAAGTTGCAAAATCTAAGAATGCAGGTCTCCAACTTGTTGGAATCTGAACAGTACAGAGATCATCCGAGCTTTCATCAGTTGTAGTACCAATAAAATCAAATGTTAGACAATTTTGTGCAAGTCTTAGAAGTTGAGTCATCAATCCATGCTATAATAAAAGAAATATAATTTATAACATTCTTTTTTTTAAAAGGCAAATCACAATGTACCTGTGCTTCGTCATTGAAATTTAAATTTTTACAATTTTCTCGAGCTGTTCCTAACAATGAGCATGATAATCTAAATATTTCAAATAATTGTGTGTCTCTGAAACTACTAGCTATTTTTCGATGTTTCGTTAGTGATCTATTGGCATCAGCTTCTGATATTTGGTTCATTTCACATGTTAACTGGGAAAGTAATTGCACTCCTATCATACAGTGCTCAACTGATCCCTGTATACAGATAAGTTATCATTAAATCATTAAAAATTTATGAACAATTATTTGTTCATTTAGGTATCAAAATAAAATTATAAAATATACACCTGAAGGAACTTGGAAACATCACTCACTACATTCCTAAATACATACTCATCCTTGTCAGAGTCAAACCAACCAAGTTTTGATATACGCGCAAAAAGTGTAACTAGTGCTTGAATAACAAAGTTAGGCAATTTCGGCTGAGTTGCTAAATAATTGAGAACATAATTTCCTACAAAAAAGATATGATTAATAAACATTAATGTTATTTATTTATTAAATCAACTGAAACATATTCACGAATGAAATAGTTTTATTATGCTGGCAGTAAAAAATAATTTTACTATTCAATATAATTTAATTAACAGGTCATTTAATCCATTTATAAGATACAAATATTATTGTTAATTATAAATTACAATTTTGGATTATTGTACACAAAAATATTTTTTTATATACATTGAAGCCTTAAACTCGAAAGATTATTTTATATATTCTTATATGTTTAAACATTCATACATTTATTATTCAAAAGATTTGTACAAAAATTTTTTAATGATATTAAAATATTTTAATATAATTTTATAAATTATAGAAAAACATATTAAATATAATAATTAAAATTTATTGCATTTAGTAATGAAAATAAAATCTTTGAATAATTTTTTTTTAGAAAATATTGCAGATGAATTCTATTCATTTCAAGAATCGTTTATACTACTTATAATTATGTATTCTATATCATATATAAATAATCTTGCTTGTTTATGTAATAAAATATTAAAATCAAATTTTAAAGGTATACCTAAGTCTAATTCAAATCAATGAAACAAAAAAATTTTAATAAAATACATATGATCTTTTTACAAGACCAATTTATACTCAATGATTGTGCAGCAATAACAATTCTTTCTTAATGTATTATTTTTATTAGACAACTCTAATAAAAAAGTAAAAAAAAATTATTTAATATATAAAATAAATATCTTTTATAAAAAAAATTTAATTGATTGTACGAACTAATGTCAAGTCTTTGTTGTAGACTCAATCCCTGAGCAGAGCGGGACACTAATTTTGTAAGTGTAGTGGCAGCCAGTAGCTGTGCATAAGCTGAATCCCCACGGTCCAACAACATCTGGCACTTTGTGAGAGTGTCTGGAGCATTTTGAAAATTAACCAGAGCTTTTTCAGCCTCAGCCCGATGCGTAGAATCTTGGGACTCATAGAGTTGTTTACACAGTAACTCTAACTGACGCACCTCCTGTAAGTGATCCATTGCTTGTCCCTTTTGTCAATTGATCACCTATTATTGAAATCTTTAAATTCTCATCGAGTGTGCATTGAATGTATTGCCAAATTAAGAATCTGTTAAACAGAATATTTTCTTTGAAAATTTATAATCCGAAAATTAATCAACCTTTTATTGAAAACTTAATTTTTTTCTGTATAAAGTTTAGAATTGCAAAAGGAATAATGAATAAAAATTCATTTGAAATTTATTAAATGTAAAATATGTATTATAATTAAAATAATCATTTTTTAAAAAATTATAAGTATTATTGAATGAATTCTTTTATTTTTAAAATTCTGTTATACAATGAAATATTTATTTCACTAATTACTTTTGTACAAATCAACAAGTATTTACTTCTTTATAGGGCATATAATTATGGTTGTTATCTCTGTACACTTATATATATACATAAAATAGGTATAAATGCAAATTTATGTAAACCATGGAAAGCAAGTAAAATAAAGATAAAGTTACTAAAATTATTTTTTAAATTTATCAATTACTTTACTATTGTTTATATATACCAGTTGTTCATTGTTCTTGATTGTTGTCATGACTTTGTTGTACAAATTAGATCTGGATGTAAACTGGATTTGTTTCTTAGATCTTGGGCATCTAATAAAAAATATTAATAAGAAACTTAATTAAATAAGCAATTAACCAAGAAGATATTTAAAAATCAATAATCAGTAATATATGATTATATATCATTTGGATCTATTTATATAAAAAGCTTAAAGCAAAAAATTTATAATTTATTATTAATGCTTATTATATTAATACATAAATATTAATAACAATGAAACTATTTTAACAGCAGTATTTATAAACTTTATTATAATGTATAAATTAAGTACAATATTAACCAAATTAAATTCAATTAAATTAAAAATGCATCGTAATTTTTTTTATAAAATAATTATTTGTATTTTAATACTTACAACTTATTTTTAGTATTAATATAAAAATTATATTTAATTCCATAAAAATTTGATAATTTATATACTTCAAAAATAATAAATTTTATTACAATTTCAGAAAATTAATGTCCCTCAATTGTTAAAATGAATGTACAGTATTTAAACAAATTAATATTAGTTTATATTATTAAAATCTATAAAGAAATTATAAAAGTGTTGATTCAATTGCGATTTAAACAAATATTTTATATTAATTCTTTGATGAATTGCGTATCATAAATTTATTATTCTAAATAGTATATTTCAAAATATCATACAATGCAATTACTTTTAGGAATTATATTAATAAAAAAGACGTCAACTATTGTGAAAAAACATTAATTATGTTGTTAAAACACATATTTCATTATCTAAAATCAAGTCCAATTAAAAATACGTAAATTAAATATTAATCATGTCTTTCGAATATTTCAAATACTTTTAAAATATTTTTATATAATATAAATATCTACATTAAAATGCAATGTGCTATAATTTATAAACTAATAAATAATATCATTTTCTTGTACTTTATAACTGATCAAGTGCACAAACTGTAAAAGAAGAAACGAAATGGAAGCCTGAAGAAGCGACTTCGGTTAGAAAAAAGGAGTTTGAGATATATAAGGACGAAGCAATAAAATAAAAAGGTAAAAAGATCCCCTCACATGTGTTAATTGAATTTTCACTGGTCCAGGTGTGAATTTTTGTTATTTTCCCTAACAACTCAATGGCGTTTTTTCTGATGACCACCCGTATTAATAAACCTTATATGAAATGAAAAACGGAATATTGAGGTTAGAAAATGTCTATACAGGATTTTCTATCTCTGTCCCTTTCGCACTCGCGTTTTTCGCGGCGCCGCGCCAACAGCCAGTAAACATTGCTTTTTATCTATGGGAATATTATCTTTCAGATAAACAAAATGTCCAACTGTACTTAATATAATTTTTTTTTCATTCACAACATAACATAAATATATTTTAATAATTTCTACCTATTTTTTAATTTTGTATATTTAATAATATATTCATTCCGACGATTTCATTATTGTAAGTAATATATTTGTAACAGATATTTTATATCCGAAAGTTGTTGAGTTATCTTCAAGATTATTACATTGCAGATAATTAATATGCAGGTAGTTTGGAAACAAAATTTACATCATAATATGTACAAAAAATTAATTTAATAAAATATATGTACTTATTCAAAATTTTGACATATTAGCATAATTTTATTTATCAGAAAATAAATCCAAATGCTATGTAATAGTAATTAAAAATTTTTTTATAAAACAATGGTACTTAATGAATAAAATATTTTGTTATATTTGAAAAAAGTATAAATTATTTATATTAATATTACTAAATAGAAAAATTTTAAAAAGTATAATTTAAAAGAAACAATTGTATGGCTTTAATAGATAATTGATTATTTAAAGTAATATAAAATGTTATATAAAAGTAATTGATATTTAAAATAACATAGATTAACATTTAGTAAAATGCAATTTCATAAATTTTATACTCAAGCATTAAAAGTGCATGATTTTAATTAATCTAATAGCTTATATAGAAATATTATCATTAATCAACAAAAAATGATTGTACAGTTTTATTAAATACTTAATAAGCATTATTAACTATAATCTATCAATTTTTAAATATGAGAATTATTAAAAAATTCTATATATTTTATATTACGTTATGCATTTTGTGAAATTGGGATATAAAGAAAAAATCATATATATGTTGATAAGAGATCTCAAATGGAATTTTTTTTGTCATTGTTATATTTCAGTGATTACATATTAACTTACTTGCTAAATTTTTAATACACTCATCCATTTTTTAAATTGCAATATCTTTTATCTCTGTCATTATATAATTTAATATGTAAAAATTAATAATAAATACAAATTTATTGCAAATTTGATATTTCTTCATAAATATACAATAGAAATAAAAAAAAGTACAAATTAAATTTTATGGAGTGCATAAAAAACCATGCATTGACAGAATTTAATGGCTAAATATACAAAAAATGAATATAAAGCATATCATCAATTTTTAATAAATTTTGCACAGCCTCTACTACATTTCGTATTTTTCATTGTATGATTTTCATAAATCAGTTAATTCTAGGTACAAGATCAATTTGTATGATCGGATTTTTTCAATTATTAATATTTTATGCAGTTAAAAATTTCAATATTTGAAATTGTATCATAAAATTCGATGTTAAATATTATAATTAAAAAGATTTGAAGATTTTTAATTCAACTTCAGCTGTGTATGTTTAATTGCTTCAACAATGTCTATTAAGGAATGTATGTGAAGTTAAGTATTTTGGAACCATCGGAGGAATTTATTATTTTTATATTAGTTTATATATTTTACATTACTATATGTAAAGATTATTAATTAAAATTGCATCAAGGACATGAAAATATAATTTATATCAACTCTAATAAATTAACTGATAATCATTTGGTTGGTAGTTAAAATATTTTCTTTTACTTAAGCATAACTTGATGGTCAGCTTATAGTACATCTAAAACAAAAATAGAACTTTTAATTTAATAATTTATATGAAATTTGGCATTACGTAATAAAAAACGTATTATTTTTATTTTAAAACAGTTATAATTATGCTTTATTCTAATATGCAATTTAATTATTTGTAACTAAGCAAAATTAAATTATTGACGATTCCGAAATATATAATTTTACATAATTTCCTTTACTTGAAAAATAATGATATTTTTAAAAAATAAGATTATCTAGTGAAAAATTGAAGTACATCAAAAAATATCAACAGATTTAAAATCACACACATCTGTCACAAATTTTTTTTCAGTCTGTTTTTTCTATATTGTTAAACCTATGAAAAATTAGTATTTGTCATTCATATTTTTTTACTGTGAACGACAAAGAATTTCATAAAATATTTACACACATGAACACTTTTTTTAATGAATATGTAGTCAATACTGAATGATTTTTCATTAGAAACTTCGTAAATTAAATCTGTACATGAATTTTTCTAGAAAACCATTGTCAGCGCTATGAATACGTAACCCTCTTAATATATTTAAATAGTATAATTTTTATTTTTGTATTTTAAAGTTAAGACTATTAATCTAAAAAATAAAAAATGAAATATATAATTATTACTTAATTTTTAACAGTTAATATTATCGCAAAAAAGTATTGACTATTTACAGAGAACATATTATTTTTACAAATTTTGAAGTTTTAGAAAGTAATGCTTTTACTGATGATACAAATAATTGGATATGATTACATTTTATGGATTTGATTAAAAATTTAATTAAATTTTGAAATAAAGTAAAATGTCTTGATAGTTTACTTTACTATGTACAAATTGGAATTCAAGGATTATTCGAATTATAAATGTCATTATATAATAGCTAAGGCTTTGATACACATGATGATTTTGTAATTCACGCCTTTTGTCGTTTCAGCCTGTCGTCAATAAATAATTGTGAGCATTTTACCAAAAACAATGAATATTATAAAGTTCTTTTTTTCTTTGAAGAAAAATATTTGCTGTACATTTAAAATTTGTTATAAATGATGCTCACTGTTTTTCTCTTTGCTAAATGATTAGCAATTTTCTCAGATTTGTTTGTTCTTTAATCCATAAAACATGTAGCATGATAATCTTATTTTTTTGTTTTCAGATTTTCTTTTTAATCACTCACAACTTTTTGTATACAGTCACACACGCACAATGAATAAGTAATCCAAGCAAACGACACGTTATGACTTCCTCTTCTTACCATAAATTAATTACATAAAAAATTCTTTTGCTATAATACATCTAGTATTTTATTTAATCGGCTTCCTTAAAAATGTTCATTCGTCTTACAGAAGTCTTTTTGTTTATATACTTGTTTTTATTCTTTATCATCCCGTTACAGTAGGAAAAAGTGGTCACCTTTATCATATAAAGCACAAAGCTTCCTTGGATATCTATTGGACCAAAATGGACACTCGATTATTATGTCCTTTTTACATCCATGGGATGTATTTTTGTATATAATGCACGTCGCTATTGTTATCACTGTATTTTTATGTTTTCCGGTTTATTGAAAGTCGATTATTCGGAGACCTTGGAAAAATTATTTTTTCTCTGCCCATTTTTATATAAAAAATGGTCATTTTCCGAGTTCTTTCTTTTATCTTTTTGTTCCAACACGATAACTGAGGTTGCTCAAACTGAACAAGTTTTATCCTTTGCAACTATCCTCATATTTTGCGCATGTTATCGTGAACACATTAAAATCACTATTTAACCACTTGTCTGAAATAGAAAACATTTTTAAAAGTTTGAAAGTATGTAATTAATATTAATAAAATAATACATATATTGTTTATTTATTATTACTATTTATTACTTTTCATACATTATAGCTGTTTATTTTATACAGTAAACAACAAGAAAGTGATATCAATTGCATAAAAAATTGTAACAAAAATAAAATGTTTTCAAATTTTTCAAAAATTAATTTAAAAAAAATTTATAAATAATTATTTAAATTTCAAATTTGAATATATTTAATTTTACAATACATTTTTAATTTCTTAATATTGTACTTACATTATTACCATTTCTATTTAAATTAGTGTATACTTTAAAATTAGAAGTGATTTTAATATTAAAAATAATTAAAAGATGTGAAATTATAAATTTTTAAAATATATACAAAGATTTAAAATATTTATAAGAAACACATAACTTGAACTATCAATACTGGTTCATTTTTTCATAATATATTGTTAGTATTTTTTATCACATAATTTTACTATTTTGGAAACAAGGTGGCGATATTTAAATAAAGAAAATTTATTTAAAATATAAATATAAATAAACAGAAAATACTTTATATTTTTTAAGATTTGATAAAGAGATACTTTAATCAAATGCAAAAAATTCTTTATGAAAATAATTAAATTATTATTTTATTTTATACTTACAATTATATCACAATAAAAGAATCATCGTATTGATGCGTCACTCAAATGCTGCTTAAAAAATAAAAGAAAAGGGTCGTTGTAAATGATAATATAATTTTATTATATTATAATAGTTATTAATCACTTAAATATAATTTTATTAATATTTTAATATAATTTCATAAAATTAATTAAATAATCGATTATACGTACGAGATGGAGATCTAGTATCGGACTGGTTAACGTTAATAGTTGCGTTATTATTACGAAATCCACTAGCATTATTAGTATCACTACCCGAATTATCTTGGTTACAATTTAAGAAATCCCAGATAAGAATAGTATCATCATGAGAAGATGAAACGATCTGGAACTCATCAAATTGAAGCCGAAATACGCGCCCAGTATGCTCCTGCAGTAAAATGAATAAATTACATAGAATTATTGTTCTTTTACTTTCAGGAATAAACAATAGGTATATTTTTCAATTTTATTTAATTCTTACGTGAATTATTATTTCTTAAATTTGTATAATTATAATTAATTAAATGAATTGTTTTATTACTTTTTCTACTATACCATTAATTGCATAAACTTACCACCAACGTACGTAAACATAGGTTAGTAGTAATTGTTCGTGGATCCAATGCTGCTACTAAATCCCAAACTTTAATCTTACTGAAAAAAAAGAGTAATAAATTATAATAGTTATTAATTACTGATCAAAAATATTGTAATACAATTTTTAATAGTCAATAAAATAGTTTTCATTATTAAAAATTATAATATGTAAATAAATATGTATAGAAGATATATAAATGTACACTTTATTTATAAATAATAAATCGTTCGTTTACTATTATAAAATAATAATTTATAAATTTACTAATTTATAATTTATAGTTTACTAATTTATAAAATAATTTATAAATTTTTTGACTTTTAAACGCTACTTTATTTATAAAATATTTTTTTAATTTTCATGAAATATTGTTCATTTATATATTCCATCTATATTTAAAAATACTTTTAAGCTAATGTATGCAAAATCTTTATAAAGCACTGATTTTATATCAATATTATGATTATGAATATCAATATTATTGATTTTGAATCAACAATATGTTTATTTAGTTAAATGAATTACATAAATTAAATATAATCTAGTCTATACCAACCCATCGTAAGCGCCGCTGACAATGTGCTTGCTATCAAATCTAATACATCTGACAAGTTCTTCGTGTCCCTCGAGGACGCGCAAACACGCCCCACATTCAATATCCCATAATCTAATCGTATTGTCGCTGCTACCACTAACTACAAGACGATCACGATATTGCAGACAGGCGATACCGCGCTTGTGACCGCTTAGCGTTCGCACGAATTCACATGTCGATGTATTCCATACTTTTATAGTCCTGTCACCACTCGCCGAAACTATGTATTTCTCGTCAAAATCGACAACGTTAACTGCTGCTCGATGGCCTACCAAAACGCGACGTAACGCTATTTCTGTCTGCGACGTCATGTCCCAAACAGCTATTGATCGGTCCTGCAAATGAACATTATTTCATAATTTTAAATAAAATGTATAAATTAGTAATACAATATAAAAAATATTTCAAATTTAGATACATTTTTTAATTATCCAGATTAGCTTCAATAACCTTAATATCATTGTAACACCATATCAATTTAGAAATGCAATAGTGGAAATAATATGAATTTGAACAACATATTATATCTTATACGAATATGTAGAAATTGACTCGTACTCACTTTTGAGCAGGTAACCATCATCCCGTTATTGAATCTTAGATGCAGCACTGCTTCACAATGATGTATCAGTGTGTTTACCATCTCTCCAGTATTTGCATCCCAAACTCTAACTGTGCTGTCAGAGGAACCGGAAATGATGGCTTTGTCATCGTACTGCAAACAGAGAACCGAACCCGTATGCCCAGTTAAAACCTTGACACACTGCAACGTATTTCTATCCCAGATTTTAATAGTATTATCGCGTAAGCCTGAAACGATCTTCTGGTCATCGTATTGCAAGCAATAGACACCTTTTGAATTCTCGCTACGACAATTTATTCGTTGAAGATTGAAGATACCATTGCGCCAATTGTTGTCGATACTTTTGATGTCGCGGGTTATTTTCGGAAAAAGGTTGCGATAAAATGCATGATTTGGATGATTCTCGCCCAATCGTGGCTTAAACAGGTACTGGATCCTACAAAATACAAGCATAAATTTTGTTATTTAATACTAGGCGATGACACAAATTTGTTAAAATATTTAAAAAATCTTAAATTACATTTACATTTTGTGCTATCAATAAATATTTACTTGTAATAATTAAAATGTTAAAATTGATATAAATTTAACAACAAAACGTTTCCAAAATTATTATAAATATTGAATAAATACTATATAATTTGTTTAAATATTTCATAAAAACAACTTTTAATATATCACTTATGCTTAAAAATATTCATAACTCATAATGTTGTTAAGGAAAGCATGTTCAATTATAAATATAAAATATAAATATAAATAAAAAGCATGAAGAGATCCGATTAAGTATTATAAAAGTAACTAACCATCCTCTCCTTTCCGCTAAACCACGCCATACTGAATCAGTTCGAACTTTTCGTTCTATTAGTTTCTTCCACAACATTCCCTCGCTAATAACTCTGTACCACTCTTTGCATACCAGCTCAGCCGCTGCCAATGATTCATTGTCTAGGTAAGAGAGAATGCCCTCGGCAACATGATCAAGTCCTTTTTCTGGAAAACAAAGTTTTACATTACTTAAAAATACTATACATTGAAATAATATTTTGAAAATTGAATTTTTGAGAATGAATAATATATTTCATATTTTATTTAAGATATTATAAGTAAATAGAAGAATATCATAAAGTATCATAAATATTATAAAATATTAAATTTCAAGGGTGTAATTTTAATTTACTTATTTTAATATCAGTGACTTCTATTTATTGAAAATCAATTTTTATTTAAGATATAAATTTTTAATGTGAATCAGGATATTATCATTATTTTTAACATATAATAGTAACATTGATAAATACTTTAGAAGTTGCATAAAATTCCATTTATACTACGCGTAGAAAAATATTTGAATTTAAAAATAATGTGCTAAAAATATATTTTTAATGGAATTTTAAAATAAACATAACTGGATGATATATAATTTGATACTACTATGATAGTAAATATTTATTGAATGTTACGAATGTTTCAATATCAAATCACTTCAAATACTTATTAAGCTTATAAATACTTATTGAATTAAATAAAATAAAGTTTGTTGATGAAATATTAATAAGACCCATTAGCAAGTATCGCCCACGCTCAAATTAAAATCATTAATCGAAACAATCTTAATATTTTCCAAGAAAATAAGTTTGAATAAAATGAATCGAAGATTATACGACGAAAAGGAGATGCATGAATAGACAGGTAAACTCACTCGGCAGTAGAGATATGAAATCTCGCTGTAGCATAGGCTTTAGGTAAGCGTTGATGTGGCCATGTTGATAGTGACACATCCGTGCCAGTAATTGCTCAACAAAATGCACTTGTTCTGGCTCACTCCATTTTTCAAAGTACTTCATGCACTGATCTCGCTCGTGAGTGTATTGTACGGATATAGAAGATGGTGGTTCTTTTTTTCGAGCAGGATCGTACAGTATCGTCATTGGGTACTAAAAAAAAGAAAATAATCGAGTATTAGACTAGATTTAACAATTATAAGAAATGTTATAATATTTATACGTATATGCATATAATTAAGAATATTTCAAAAATATTTCAAAAGTAAGGTATAATACTAGAAATTTTTTCACCTCGTCTATAAATGATTTTAATTAAAATAATTGTATATAAATATTTTTTTGGAAAACAAGTCAACTTTTTATTTTTCATATAAAGAATTATTACATAAGTGTTTAAAGTAATTTAAAGTAATAATATAGTTTCTTATAAGAAGCAATTATATCGAACGACGTAAATTAAACATTATTAAATAATTATATTTATATACTAAATCTTATTTGAAGTATAACTAAAACCCAATATGATATTATTAAGTTTAATTTTAAATAAACCTATAATAAAATCATCCTTTTGTGCATGTAAGCAAAAGCTTTCTATATAAATTTTTAGTTAATATAAATCTATTACTATTTATAAATACTACTGAATACTTAGAAATAAATATATATTAATAATATAAGAAAATATCCCAAAATGAACATCTATTAAGGTTGAAATTTTTGAGTTTTTAATAATATATAAGTCTGTTGAAACTAGAAGTTTTCGGTGCTTTTACAATTGTTTTTGTTATTAAACTCATTGTTATGAAGAATCTTGAATACATTACTTAATATAACAGCCTGTAAAATTTGTGTGATCTGTGATATTTTTAAATCGCGCATTTCCTTCAAGGGTTATCGAGGTGACTAATTATATATGCGCCACCAATCCATATGAGACATAGTAGCACTCATTATAAAACTTTATATAAGTTATTAATCATTAAAAGCATACTTATATGTATGGTGAAATTAAATTGCTCATACCATAATTTTGTAAATAATTATTTTTGAAATTATAAATTTATATTCAGATATTTTATTTTGTTATTAATTAAGTAAAAAATAATATAATATAATATTGCATAAAAAACAATTTTTGTAAATCTTATTATTAAATTTGCTATTGTTTAAAAATGAATATAATTTAATAAATTTTTAATATAAAATATTTATTGCGTAAAAATAAATCATAATATACTTGATAATTAAAATAATTTGCTTTAATTTAATTATAATTAAATTTCATTGAACTAAAGACCAAACATTTTCATTTTGAATTCAAATGGATATTGAATTTTTTGTTGGAAGTTCAATATTCATACTACAAGCTAATACAAGTTCTTTACAAATAAACAAATTTTTTTAATATTTATCATATGAAAATTCAATCGTATTCCATAGCATATAAATTAAATTTTAATTTCAACATTCTATAATTACATACCAAATAAATAGTTAATTAAAAATACATTTATTAAAATGAGTAATGTATGTTCGTATATGTATTTTTGTAATGATTAGCTCTCTCTCTCTCTCTCTCTCTCTCTCTCTCTCTCTATATATATATATATATATATATATATATTTCTCTTCACCCTTACTTTGCATATTCTCTTTTTCTCTAAAATTGGCTTATAAATATATTTATTCTAAAGAATAAATACCTACTTAAGAGATACTTTAATAAAGTAAGTAAGTGCTGTTTCAACATATCGATGGGCGACATTAATAAAATGTACTACTAATGGGTTCTCATTTCCGATTCCTTTTATGGTTCTTATTACTTAGTTCATTATTATTTGTAATGCTTTAGTTTTTTTTTTTAATTAATCGATTATGAATGATAGAGAACAATGCACTTACATATATAGGAAGCCTTGTGCATACATAATATAGATATGTATTATCATGATATTGAAATAACAAATTTTTATTCTATGAATATGTTTTAGTTTAAATTTGATGTGCTAATATGTTTTTATAGTAAATATGGTATTTATAAGTTTCTATAATCAATAAAGACATACTTAAAGAATTTTAATATTCACTATATTTTTTATTTTTATTGATACGTTTCTATTTCACTTTCTTTTTGTACGCATTTTAATCATTCTCTTTATTTAAAATACATCATCATTTTAATTAATTAAGAAAAATTAATTGAATAACAACAATTCTCGATTTCATTATATTTTAATAATGCATTAAAATAAAATATTTCTCTGCATGCAGTGCTGCGTGAACTATATAACTGCGTTATTAAATAACTTCTATATTTTTAAATAATATAGTTATAAATTATTAGAACAAACAATATTGAAAATAATATCTTTTTCATTTAAATTACAAGTATTTGAATTAATATCAATACCAACACAAAATATTAAAATTTAAAGGCAGTTAATGAAAAACAGTATTAATAATAATATTTTTTAAACAATAAACAATTAACTTTAAACAATGAACGAAAGATATCTAACCGAATTCATAAGTTAATTTTTTAAATAATTTTTCGGAACATTTAAAACATCTTAGATGCTGGTTTATATGTCAAAACCGAATTACCAAGCTGACTGAAAATGTTACATTATATTTATCTTACATAAAAAATTTAAGGTAAAATCAAGCATTTGAATTAACTAAGCACTTCGTTATGGATTGTCTTAATTCTCCGTTGTTTGTTTTTTCTCATATGCGCTGCTTTCTGTAAGAAAAATCGATAACTTGATACGACATACTGCTACAAATATCTGCAAATATTTCTTTACGTCTCGTAGAAATACTAATTTTAAGTTTCTAATAAAATGAAATTTGAAGCAGCGTTTATTAAATTTATTGAATAAACATTTTTTAAATCATTTTTATATAAAAAATATGAATAGAAATGTTATAAGAATATTGTATATATCCGTAACTTTAAAAACCTTTTTATAGGCTTACCTTAGATATAAATAATCGTTATAACAATGTATAATAATTTTAATTTTAGTGATGTTTATTTTAAAGTAGATTATGTTTTATAAGAATGTATTATCAATTTTACGGTACATATTAAAAAAATAACGCATTTGTATTTTAAATTGTTTTAAACAAGTTTAATTTTCATTGTGTTGTAATATTGAATATTTTTCTAATTTATATATTAAAAATAAAAATATATTGAAGAATGAAAATTTCATCTATGAAATTATAGTTAATAGACAAATACAATAAAAACCATTATTAAATGTCAATAACGGAATAATATTAATAGCAACGATTACACATTTTTTTTTTTAATTTCTTTAATATAAAATTGATAATTTTATCGATTAATTAATAGTGATGTCATTATCATTGGTTTCATCTTGCATAGTTTCAATTTTTATACACAAGATAAGCCTCCAAGATACTATATTTATAGTATTTTTAAAAGTGTATAAATTAAGTTTTTAAATAAATTAACTGCATTGCATTTTGTTATGTGTTGTAACTAAACATAGATTTTATTTAGAAAATGTTAATGTTATGATATATATATATTTTATCATTGAAATATAAAAATATATTACAACAAAGTAAATTTTATTATCATATTTATTAATATAGTTCACATTTTTTGAAATTATTAGTAAGATGATAACAAACTATTTATGATTTTATTGTATTTATTTTCACAATATTATTAAAGGAATAATTTATAAAATATAAGAAAAACTACTGAAATATTATAATACGTAAAAATTAATAACGAAAATGTATTATTCAGTTGATTAGTACATATAAGTAATAAGTAAAAATTTAGAAGATTTAGGTAAGCATATATAAAATCATGTAATCAAATATTTTGTCTTGTTAATAGAAAAAACTTTATCAATATATCATGGTTTTTTCTGTTCGTTATATATAAAAATTTTACTCATCCCGTTGCAATGCATAAAAAATAGTTGTAAAAAAAGAAAATTAGAAAAACTGATTTTATTTAGAAAGTACAGTTAAAACAGTGCCTATCCTAGCGAAGTCTAAGGAAACAGTTATAAAATTTTTTTTTATTTTTAATTATAATCTTGGAATACGATATAAAAGCCACTAGGAGAAGTAAAAAGAAAAATATTCCGACAATGTACTAAGTCTTAATCTTTCCAAAGAGCTCAGTATTACTTTCATTAGTCGCCACGCATAATAAATAGTAAAATTTATAAAATATGGCAAGAGACAAGACAGAAATTAGTTATAAAGTCTATATATTATATTGATAAATAAATCATGATATACTGAATCAGAATTTAAAAAATACTTAACGTCGTATTATTAGAAGGCAGATAATAGTAAATTTATAAATTTTATTTTGTTTATATCTTTTTTTTATAATTAAGTTTAAAATTAAAACAGCATTTAAATATAAAATATGTTGAAACATAGATAAGCACGAAAATGTGAAATGTATTTAATGTGTATAATATTATCTTTGTTGTGAATCATGTTTCGCTAAGATTTTTTATTTACCAGTAAAGCGATAATCTAATATTGTTAGAATACTCAATTCTGAATTTCTAACAATATCTAAATGTTCGACAAAATATTATCAGTTAACGTTTTATTTTTAATAAATAAAATTTTAAAGATTGCAAAATGAAGATGAGATATTGTATCATTAGTGTTTAAGATATTTTTGAAATATATAATTAATGCAAAAAAAAAATGAAATTCTGATATTTAAACAGTTCTATAAATATTGTTATCTAATTAGTAAAGCATTTTATTTCTTTCCTTACTTTTCTGACTTGTTTTTATTTAATGTGTGTATCATAGAAATAACGGCACTTCATATTAAGAAATGGAAATGATTTGACCTTTTATTTAATTGTGTATGCATGATTCAGATTATCAACATCATTAGTTAAAATTTATAATACCAGATAAATAAAAGTATATGTATTTATTCATACTAAATATTTCATAATTTAAGAATTATTTTATTATTATTGCAGAAATTATTTTTGAATACCATGGTCTTAACATTTAAAAATAAATTTTATGGTTAATTTAAAATAGTTGGAATGTATTTTATATCATGAAATATATTGCTTTAATCTTCTACATTGTAAAAAATCATTACAAAATT